TACAAGTCTCCTGTGTCCAAGGGCTAATTCCAAGAGGTCGCAGGTGCTGAAATGGTGCTATGAAAAGCACTCATCCTTAACTGGGAACCAAGATTTCCAAAACATGCAGCTTATCACTTCTCATGAGGCAGCGACTCCTGTACTGCTATGAATCGCTACCACACAGGATTCTGAGATTTTTGATACTGGCATCTTCATGGCTAGGAGGTGATGATTAGATTTAAGTGAAAAGAATTTAATGACTTGCCCTGTAACCTTGGGAAAGTCAGTTAACCAAGGCTTAGCATATGCATCTATAAATTGGAGACCAATCCTTGCATTGCTCGTATACATCAAGAGTTTTTGAGACTCACATGAAATGTGTGAAGAATGACATTCTAATAAGAACTATATAAGGTGTTGCTCTTATTACTGCAGAGGCATTAGAGGTAGCCTTTCTCAGAGCCCAAGCAAGTGTCAAATTATTGTGTCAGAGAAAGACACAAAGATTGGACATTGGGTTTACCATTGTAGCTTATGATAGACTGGCAACAGCAAACACTTTACTGGCCCTGAAGAAATCAGCCAGAAAACTTTTTTTTTTTACCTGAAAAGAAAGTATGTTCACTCTTGGTAGGCTTCATGTGGCCCTGATCAAAATTAGCAAGTATAGTAGTCTCAGATCGCCTTTGGCTTCGAAACCTGTCCTGTCTTCCATAATCTCTAGTGTAAGCATTCGCTCTGGTACCCTTGATGAACAGAAGGGAAGCATATCTGAAGAACTTCTGCAGGCTTACCTTTCACAGATGCTACTGAGGCTAGAAAACCATAATAAACTGTCTATTTCTCAGCTGGGGCTTTTCACTGACTGCAAGCATGCACATTGGACTTAGCAGATTGCTCTCATAGAAATAGTACTACCGGGAGTTGTCTTTCTGGAGCTTTCAGAGATCAGTTATTGGTATTTAGAATCTAGTCTGCGAGTGAGGCAACTGAAATTCTTCATTTGGAATAAGATGTAACAAACCAAATGACCACGTCGGGGAAATCAAAGTGCATTCTTTAGAGATCCAATGGGGCAATATTTGAAAATAGGTAAATAATTTAGGATCATAACGAACATATTTTGCCTCATTTCACCCTAAGAACCTTTGAAAACAGCTTCCAATAAAGCTTGGTAAACTAGGTCTTAAGTGGAGTTAAGTCATATTTCCACTGGCCCATTGCTCAGTTCAAAGAAGATGCATACTTAATCATGTATGTCAGTTTTATCGATTCACCCTCATGTTGCCACATATGGAATAAAGCACTTACCCTAGATTTTGGAAACTAGAAGGAGTTGTGTATTCATCAGAGTGTCAAGAGCAAATGGACAACACACTTAAATTAGGAGAGTTTAATTAGAAATATGTAGGTGGTGTATGGGGGAATCGCAAAAGGTAGTCCAGGAATCCAGGTCTAGCAGCACAGCAACAGCAGACTTGTCGCCACACCTAGACCCAAAGGGATGAGAATAAAAAGGTTACTGGAACCAGAAAGGGAGATAATTAAAAATAGCAGGTCATCTTGAGAAGAGTAGGGTCATTCAGTTGAGGGGGCACAAGCCAACCTGAGGTGACCCCACAGAGAAGGAGCCATAAAAATAAATACCTTAACCCCACTCTTGTTCCTTCCTCTGCTATTCTGCTGGAACATCCCATTGGTTGAACCCAACCAGAAGCCAGAGGGGTCAGGAACCCTCTGGGGAAGAAAGTAGGGTGAAGGATACAATATGACTCTGGAGGGGGAAACAGAATATATCCGGCATAAATTGGTATGACATCAGCAATCTGTTATCCTGTAGGGTCAGGTGTGAGGCATGCCATCCATTCATAGAGAAATAGAGAGTTACGGTTACGTAAATGTGATTTTAGCCTATCCATGTTTTGGGGAGCAGGCTGGTGAGTCAGCTTCCTCCAGACAGCTACTTTGGCAAAAAGCCCCATTATCTGTCCTAGTCTGGCCTAGAGTTAGTAAGATTTGGCAGTCAAAGATTTCTTCTTCTCCAGAGGATACCTCTTCTCCAGAGGATATACAGTAAGTTCTCACTTAACATCTATAGGTTCTTAGAAGTTGCAACTTTCAGCTAAACAACATACAACGAAACCAAATTTTTTTCCTCATTGACACTGAACATAATTTTGCTTAAATTTGCAGTTTTCAAGAACCTATTGATGTTGTTAAGTGAGGACTTAGTGTATTGTGGTGACTACACATCTCTCTGGTTGAGTTGGTTTTGTATTGCTATTAATGGTCCCTACAGCTAATAAGCATCCAGTGAATATTTGTTGATGTAGAACTTGGGAGACAGGCCTATCTGGATTCAATCCCAACTTAGGAGTACACCATACTAACCTTCTAAGCACTCTGAATATACTCTAAAAACCACTGTTCTAAAATGGAAATGACATATGATTTTAAAATATTATTCAATTTATTTTGGAGCTGCCAAGGGATGAAGGTGTTTGTATAGTCCAGCCTGAGAAATGAGGTTCTCTGCCAAAGACACCAGCTGAAGTCCTGGCCAAACAAAAGTGATTGCTCTTTGCTTCTGTGCTGAGAGGCACAGTAAGTGCTACCAGAGCCAACTCCTAATCAGGTTCTTGAGAAGAAAATCTTTGACAGCAAAGCTGTCCCTTCATTTTGAATGCAGACATTGGGAAACTGGGCCACTTCTTAAAATATTTGTAGTTGATTTTAAGACTATACTTTCAGGAATCATTTCTATAGTTTGCTATTGATTTTTATGAGGCTGAAAGAATACATGAAGCTTAAAACAAGAAATCTGGAGGCAGGACTTTAGACAACCTGCCACAACCAACAATGAGCTCAACAAATCATTACACATGCTGATTCATTTTTATAGGCAATAGTGCCCTCTTGTGATTAACTTCTGAATAAACTTTTGATGGCTTGGAATGACCAGTGAGTTTTCAATTAACCATACTGATTGAGGCAAAGAACCTTGTTGCCACCATAAGAACTAGAAACTGTTCTTCCAATTTGGCTGGGTAGGAAAAGTGTCCAACAAAATTTCCTGTGGAAGTTATGAGTGTGACACCAACTACAGACTAAGCCAACAAATTATAAAAGCAATCAGAATGTCTACTTTCCTATACTCTATCTATCTATCATCTATCTATATAAAATGGAAGAGTTGTCCATGGAGGCCTTCGCCTTTTGGAAGATACACATGCACACATAGCTATGGAATATTAGGATTTGCTCCTTAAGTAGTATCTGAATCATGAAGGATTCATTAATTGGGAAAATCACATTTGGTATACGTAAATATTTGGTAATCAAACTATCAGATTAAGCAGAACAGCTCATTCATTTCCTGCCAATGTGGGAAAACCACTAACTGTGTATGACTGCAAAACTTACCATAGCTAACTACTAGAGAAGCTAGATCAGAATAATCTTTGAATAATCAGTGGCAAGGGAGGGTCAACAACATTAAGGTGCTGGAATGGATTGGGTTCATGTATTTCAAACAATAAAGCACAGGTGGGAATAGTTAGGGGATTTAAGAAACACACAGACTAGTTGTACATACAACAGTTTAAAAGGAGGCTCTTTTTGAGCCAAAGTTTTCAACCAGCTATAAATGAGAGGGAAAGCTACAAACAGCAAAATCTCTGGAATTAGTGTTTGCAATTGTAACTCAAGGGGCAACCTTCCAGTGTGCACCATGTAGAAAAATCTGTGGGATGTAATATGGTATTTTCAGTTACAATTACCCATTAGTGCTTTCATGCATGGGGGGCTATGTGGAAAAATAAAGCTAAAATTTGCAATTGGCTGGGCAAAACCAACAAAATCATTAGATAGTTACCATTGTTAAGATCCTACATTTTACCACAATAGACTCTAAGTTTTAGATTTTGCATGGATTCATATTAGGATCTCAGATTCTCAAAATTGTTTTGGTTGTTTTATATTTTAGGTGTAGCACAAATTTTATTATAGAGGCTTTTCATACCTCTTATTTTTAGCAATTCCTTGGCTATTTTAGAGAACTACATGTGTTCATTCTTAATCATTAGGAAAATTAACTCACTAATCTGTAGTAAACATTATTAATGAATACTTAAATAGAAACTAGCTCTGCTTCCTTTCCCAGCTATCAACACAATGTTGTCAAGAAATTTATTATCTCAAAAACATCTTCTAATAGGTTATTTTCTTCACTGGAAAAAAAGTTTACATTATTATATTTATTGTATCAGCTATCAGAGTGATCAAAGTCTGCAGCAACTGATTCCCTGGGAAAGGACCACTTGTTGATGTGCAGATCTATCGTCTATTTGTAAATGAGCAGGTTTTTTACACATAGCCTGAAGAGATACACAACAAACCATCCTTACAACATGTATCTTTAATTAAATTGATATTGGTGGGTTAAAAACAGTAAGTGAGAAGATGACAGCTAGGGAAATAGGTATCCTATGACTATTTATAATAAACTGTTTAAAATAAAAAAGAGTAAGAAACATCAATTGGCTTTTTATAATTGAAGAGAGAAGACTATAACCAAGTGTTGTCTTCTCAGTTCTTTCACAAGCAGAGACCACAGGAGAATAATTCTTACATAAGCAGCACAGGAAAAAGAATCATTAGTTTTTCCATGTGTATTTTTGTTTCTCAAAATTGTTGGGGAGAACTTTGTCCAGTCAGAAATGAGCAAAAACAAGATGTGAGAAAGATGACAATAGGGGCATCTGGTCTTAAGAGAGTCTTAGAGAATACAGCGAAAGAGACATTGCTCCATTGGATATTATAATTTGGTATGTAACATGAACATTTAAAATTCTGATTAAAGTGACTAAAAGGATTTATTTTTAAAAATCAAATAAGAACTTAGGGGATAAAACTCAAAATAAATTTACTCTCAGTAGTAACTCGATGCAAGAGTATATCTTTTCTCACTTTGATAAGCATGGATATAGAATGTTCCTGTCTGTATTCTAAGCTTTCCTACATTTTCTGTAAAGAGTGATTCATGCCAGGTCACATCTAAATGACTCAACATTTTGAGATAAAAGGCTGTTTACACAATATACACATTCTTTACTTACAGAGCAAAATAAGCCTAACACTTTTATATTAAAAACCTGGGATACAGTAGGATTAGTAGCACCATGAAAAATAATTCTTCCCCCAAACTTCAGTCTTTTATTTTACTCAGTATGATTCTTCTCTTAATTGAATTTTTAATGTGCTGTTTAAGTAACTGGGCAAAATATATAATCTTCATCTTATAATTCTTGGAGAAAGTCATTCTGGACCCAAAAAGTAAATTCATTTCCTTATTTCTTTCACAGAAAATAACAGAGACCTTGCTCTGGCACAATCCTGAGGTACATCTGAATCTTCATGGTTACTAGTCAGCATGTTCTCTTGGTCATATATAGTAGCACCATTGGTGACAGCAGTGGTAAAGTTAGGGAGAATGAGACATTGCATCCTGGGAATTTTATATATATATCACATTTAAAAACACACAAGGAATTCTCCAAAATGTTATGTCCTCTTCATGCACACTTGACATCGGCTAATACGTGTCCTCAAGTCTCCTGCTTTCAGCGTTTCTGACTGAGGTTTACTGGGAAATAAGAAATAAGACAATCAGATTCACCTTTTCTGGTATTTCAATTCTATTACTGGTTCAAATTTATACTTAAACATTCTCTTTATGTTATGTAGCTCTCCTAGTGACTTAATGGATTACTTTTGAGCTATGTGATCTAATGCAGTGACTGGTATGGCCTCAGAGCAATTAGTGGTCACAGGTACGTTTGTGCTGTTCTCCCTACCACTATTATCTTTGTATATTTATGTCTCCCTCTCTTTCTCTGATATCTTTTTCTCGTTCTCTGACACATTTTTCCAATAGTCACAGAATGACTGAGATCTGGGCAACTGATGATGAATACGTGATAAGGACCAGAAGAAAAATATCAAGTAATGATAAATGAAAGAAGCAACACATAAAAATACATTTAAACTGAAAAAAATCAATAAACTGAAGTATCCTGAGGTACATGTATTATATGCAGTCTTACTAATTGAAACTGAGAATCCTGGGAAATGAGACCTCTGGATAGGGGGAGAGAACACAGACTGTAGCTTCAATTCCTGGGGTGGCCTCAATCTAGTTGAAGAGATGCTGATTTGTCAGTGAGTAGGTCATATAACCTTTCTTTCTCTATTTGTTTCGATATTTAACGATTACTACACCAAGGCATTGCAAACTACATTTACCTAATATTAGTCAAGTCGGTTTTTCTGACCTGAGTCAAGTATATAAGGAGAATAAGTAAGAATAAAATACATAGCCCAATAAATTCCTCACATTTGTTGGAGATAAACCATCCATGAATTGTCTCTCTCTTGCTTAGCATCTCTGAAGAAAGTTTTGGACCTAAACTAAAGCCATAAGCACCTTACCTGAACATGTCTGACACATCTACAGTTGCCAGCCAAAAGCTGTAGGAGTTAGCATAGTAGTTACAGGTACCCCGCCCATGACATTCGATGAAGGGAGCTGAGCGAAACTCTTCCAAGCAGGAACCAGGGGAGGCCAGGGCTTGACCTGAGCCCTCTGCCCCTGCACTTGTATGCTAGAAAAGACAAGGAAAAATGTGCCACAATATCCATGTGCCATAATACCTTACTGAATATCCAAAGATGTGTGCTGAGCTTAGTCAAAAATTCAAATCCAGTGAAGGGACTAGGTCCAGAGGTAAGAGAATAATATTCACACTAAGGGTAGTCAACAAAAGTAGCAAGTAATAGGAAGTTTATGAAAATATGCTACAGAAAATATGTGAGGGGGAACACAGTGCCTGGACACAAGTTATTTAAAGTTCAAACTTATCATTATGCAAATAACAAGGATTCCTCATATTGGGGAGAAATGTAGATAAAATGGACAGTCAGTTATGATGACAAAGGCAAGGAAGAGTGTTTCATACCATCATGAAGGAATAACCAATCCACAGAGAATCCCATCCCTGAGGACAACGGGGAATCTGGATGGTCTGACTGTGAACTGCAATCACCACGGCTGGCGCTTCACACACTGCACATCTGGCAAAGGAAAGGGAGAGGGAACATAATCTACAGAGTATGTTGGAAATAGTAGTCCCTCTTCTTTGAAAGCCTTCCTGGTATGGAGCTCCACAAGGTGTCTTCAATGCTCAGAAAAGGTAAAAAATGCACTTTGAGAATTGATTTTGTATAAGCATTGTCTCCCAATATGTGTGTTGTGTGAGAGTGTGGTAAGAAAAATGTCTGGTACACTGGAAAAGACAAGAAACAGATACTTTCTCAATCTCCACCCATTATTCTTGGTCCAAAGGACATTTATTAACCATTTAGCCCTATCTGGAGAAGTACAACATATCCAGAATGCTGGGCAGGTATCCAGGCACTTGGAGATGTGACTGAAATCTACAAAATCAAATAAAACAGCAACAGAATGAATACCACTGAGCCCACCAGATCTTTAATAAAGAACATGAGGGGACCTCTTGAAACATGACTTAGGCCAATTTGGTAGTTTACCTACATAATAGCTGATATATTTAGAGGACCTTTTACTCCCAAGAGTTGGGACTGAAAAAAAATCACGCACGCACGCACACACACACACACACACACATACACACACACACACACACACACACACACACACACACACACACACACACACAAATGAATTCCCAAAGGATTTAGGCAAATGTGTTAAAAAGGGAACCATGAATTCGTTACTAAGGCTGAACTACCTTTAATCTTTATATTCAATATCAAAGGAGCTAGACTTTCCAATGATTCATCTCTTATGGTTATTGGAATCCTGGATCATGATCAGAAGAAAAATGGCAATATCCAACATTCCTAGGAGATCAAGTTAAACTAGGATTTCAAGGTGGCAAAACCCCAGGAAATCTCTATTAATTGTACCACCCTCCTCTTAGTTACTTATGCTCCAAATCTCAGCTATCACTTCCACCTTCACATAGCTAATCATTGCCAAATCCTATCTAGCCTAATAACATGACACATGTCACTGTGGGTTCCAATCCACTCATATCAGGACTATAGCAATACCCTTTAATCCAACTGTTCTCTCTACCTCAGGACTATCCCGTCTGTAATCCATGTTACACACTGATGGTTCAGTAATCTCCCCTGAGATGTACCTCAAAAATATTTTGGAGCTTCTCGTAATATGCCAAATAAATTTCTAACTACAATTTGGCAATGAAACATTCTACCATCTAGACCCAAGCTAACTTTACAATCGTTTCTTTCTATGCCATTTTTACATAGTACATTCTAGACACATTAATCTATTACCTATTCTCACTTCCTCTGCCTAGCACGTCTTTCCCCTTTATAAATTGCCTGTGCCTCAAGTCTTTCCCATCTGTCAAGGACTGACCAGTTCGAAAAAATTTCTTCCATATACTCATCCCAGATTACTCCAGTTGAAATTAAATATCCCCTTTCCCTATACCTCTATAACATTTTATTAGATCTATTGTAGCACTTAGGCCAGGCATGGTGGCTCATGCCTGTAATCCTAGCACTCTGGGAGGCCAAGGCGGAAGGATCACTTGAGGTCAGGAGTTCAAGACCAGCCTAAGCAAGAATAGCAAGACCCCATCTCTACAAAAAAATAGAAAAATTAGCCAGATGTGGTGGCATGCACCTGTAGTCCCAGCTTCTTGAGAGGGTGAGGCAGGAGGATCACTTGAGCTCAGGAGTTTGAGGTTTGGTGTCATCATAGCTCAATACCTGAGCTATGATGACACCACTGCATTCTAGCCAGGGTAACAGAGTGAGACTCTGTCTCAAAAAAATTAAAATAAAATAAAATATTGTAGCACTTAGCCCAAGCCTGATATACATAAGATTAATTTATGTATATTGGCCAAATTACTAGACTATGAGTTCTTTATATATTACGTTATGTCTATAATGGAGCCTGGTCAAAAGCAGATCCCCAATAAATATGGATCAAACTAAATAGCGAATTGAATATTAAAAGGTACCTCTGTTCTACCTAACCTAGGAAGAATATCATCAGATTATTAGCTTTGGATTAATTTCTGGCTAGCTAAACTAACTGGGGATTGGTAATAATCAAAGCTAAACCAATTCCTTACCGACTAATGAATGGCTGGATGCTCTGGCCCTTTAGGGGTTCCATGTTCATTGGCATTGGCTCTGGGGTGGACAGCCAATAAGAATAGTCATTTCTTGAAGCAAAGTTGCAAACATTATTGATGTTGCAGAACATGAAAGGCATGGTACTAAAGCGACGAAGGCAGCTGCCAGCCGTTCCTAGGAAGAATTGAAGAGAAAAAGATGAAGGACAGCATCATGATGGTACTTTCGTTTCTTCTAAAACAGTAACAAACAACTTTTCAAAGAGAAACTTGTCTACATTTCTTAGGTAATAAATATACTTTATTTCTTAAATTCTAATATTTACTCATATTTTAACACATCTAAAATCAGGATGTATTTTACAATGTATGTGGACATTTACTGTGGTAGCTCATTACATATTCCCCAACGCTGTTTCTAACCTAGTGATGCATCTTATAAACAATGGTGTCTTATGGAGAATATTTAGTAATTTATTGCATACAAATGAGGGACACACACTGAGTCTTTACCATATCTTATCAATATTTCCTGCTCCAGGCTGCCCTTTATTCTTCTAAGACTTTCCTAGTATGTATCTTGTGAGGGACTGCAATCTCTTTAAGCCCAGGGATAACAGTAGTGCTGACAAATATGCATAGCAATCACAAACAAGTTTGAAGATGAATAAGTAAAAAGGAAAAAAAATGAGAGGAAGGAAGTATGTGAAGAGAAAACAAAGAAAAGAAACTAGTCTTTGATATTTAGAGTTGATAGGAGCAGTAGAGGTTATCTCTACCAGTGATCAAGCCTTTCCTTTCTCATTTACTCACAAAAGAATGATAAAAAATGATGGAGCCCCTTCACACATTTTTAAGTGATATGATATTTAAATTTTTATCAGATATTATATAAAATTTGATATCTAAATTTTTTCATCAGGAGTTTAAGTTGATACTGTGCCAGAATTAAGATATTGGCTATTGTCTCTCAGCTCCAAACCCACCCTTCTATTCTCTTTGTAATACTAGGGGATGAGAATTTGCAAACCACATTTCTACCTTGTCACCTGTCATTTATGGTGTTTTGTGAATATTGATATTTAAAAATAAACGTTTATGTCACTCTTTTAAATGTAACCAATGTAATGATTTGAAACTTAACATTAGCCATTATAGAAAATACATAAACTCATCTTTAACAGCTGACAATTACACATCGTTTCCTTTTGCATTTAAAATTTATATTTCGGGGGCACGGTGGCTCATGCCTGTAATCCTAGCACTCTGGGAGGCTGAGGCGGGCGGATTGTTTGAGCTTAGGAGTTCGAAACCAGCCTGAGCAAGAGCTAGACCCCGTCTCTACTAAAAATAGAAAGAAATTAATCAGACAACTAAAAATATATAGAAAAAATTAGTTGGGCATGGTGGCGCATGCCTGTAATACCACCTACTCGGGAGGCTAAGGCAGAAGGATCACTTGAGCCCAGGAGTTTGAGGTTGCTGTGAGCTAGGCTGACGCCACGGCACTCACTCTAGCCCAGGCAAAAGAGTGAGACTCTGTCTCAAAAAAAAAAAAATTATATTTCCATTCTACTGCTCTCACAGTTTTATCCTAATGTAATATATCTTTATTTTTGGAAGTCTTATTGATCATCGTACCATATTTCTCTGAAACAAAAATTTAAAATACCTTTTTAAAAATTTCTGTGACCGGATTTTTCATGTTAAAGGTTTTATTTTGACCTGTCATCATTATAAATATTATTAATTCAAAACTGATTAAAACCATACATATTATAAATCTTTATAATTATTAAACAAAAAGTAAACTTTTATTAGAAATATATTTCTTAATGACATGGATTAAAATAAGTTATAGAGCCTCAGTTAATGGAGACTTTACCAAAACCATTATTTTGAATTGTCCTTTTGAATTTGTTTCCCAGAGGTTTTCACACTTCAAGGCAATATGCCGTAGTATGACTCTTTTATAAAGTGGGAGATGTATGAGAGTTAAAAGGAGATATGGGAAAGGAGATCACCCAAAGCACATTCACAGGCAGATTGGCTTTAAGGAGAAAGTACATATGAAAGTTGAAGACTTGAAAACTGATTTCTTTAAAATTATGCTTGTATACCTCTTGGAAATTTTTCATATATCCGAAAAGTTATGCTTATCTCAAACTGAAGATGACTGATAAAAGAGCAATGGCTCTTAAACCTGGTGGATCATCAGAATCATTTGGAATTTTAATACAATATGTTTGGGATGGGCCTAGGAATCTTCAAAAGTTCCCCAGGTTGAAAATCATTGATTTAGTCTAATTTATCCCTTTTTCCAAAAAGAAAAAACTGGTTCAGAGAGAAGTGACTGACTCAAGGTCATGTGAGAGTGAAAGATAACATGGCATAATTGAAAAAGGGAAGGATTTAGAATTGGCAGGTGTTACATTCAAGTCTTACCTCCATCACTTTCTAACTGTGGTTTTTAGTCAGGTACTTAATCTCTTTGTCAGTTTCTTTGTATATAAAATGAAAAAAACAATGTTTGTCATATTTTTCTTGATCATAGTTGTGAAAATCAAATTAGACAATGGATATGAAAGTGCTTTGTACATTACAAAGTAATTTAAAAAGAAAACTAACCTAATGCCTAATTTGGGACAGAGCTGCCTGGTCTCATAAAGAAGAGAAAAGGAAGAGATATATAAAAGGAAGACCCATAATGATGAGATCAGGGGTGTTTGGTTGCATCGGTGCTATAGGCTGCCCACAATGATGCAGAATCCTGGATTATAATTCTCCAAATTTTCAAAAGGTGAGTGATTTTATGTACTCTTAATGTCTCTCCATCCCTTAAAAGTATAAGGCTTTATCAGACTAATGGTTCTCAGTATGTTTTTTTCTTCCAGATAGAAAAGTTTTAGTATTCAATTTATCTCTTCTACCCTCTTTCTTACATAACCATAATCCTTCCACTAATCCAACACAGACTGTATTTATTCAGTCAGGTAATTGTTTCTTTAACATCAAAGCTAAAGCTGCCTCTATTCTTTGCGTAGTCATCAAGATATTTCCAATGTGATTCTTGTATGAGCCGTAGCAGAGCCTCTGCAATCTACCACCACTTTTAGGATCTTGGTCCCTACCATGGCATTTGACCAAATACATGCATTCTGAAAAGTTATAATGATATACTGGATAGCAGATCCCATTTTCTCTTTGTATTACATTTTTTAATTTCATAGTGCTCAAAACTTTCTAATGGTTCCTATTGACCTGATAGGTTAAGGATTTTAACGTTACAAGTTTGATTGTAAGTTAGACTCTGACAGTCTAGAGAAAATGAACAAAAAAAGAGAAGAATTTTATAGGAAAATACTAGATAAAATTATCTAAATATATTAAATTAAATTAGTTAATGAGATATCCAATTAAAAGTACCAAAAGATAATATAATCATTAATTTAATGATTATTTGGCAATTGCAAAATTAGAAAAAGAAGATGTACATAAAGAAAGCAAAAAAGTGAATGAAAGTAAAGGAATGATGAAAAGGAAAAAAAGAAAATACAAGGAAGAAAAGAGAAGTACAAGAGGAAGATGAAAGATGTTAAGCAAACCCCCACTTTATTTGGATTCATAAAATCACCTATGACCATTGGCTTCCATGTAAGAGAACATGCCTACTCTGGTGGGACAGAACTGGCAGGTGTGGCCATATTCCCTGAGAATAGAGAAAGTACATCAGACCTCTGGGGTCTCTGCTGCTGCAGAACTGATTTCACAGAATGAATGGCCCAGCCAATGAGACCTCAGGAGCCCTCTCACTATAAAGATCCCAGAAAGCAGGAGCCAAGATTATCTTTGTAAATGTCTTTATAGAGGCAAACAGGATAGTGAGTCCTAAAATAGGCAGCCCCAGTTCAAACAATGGGACCTCGACATCCAAAGTCAAAATTCCAGGAAAATAAATTTTGGGGATAGAAGAGTCCTTGACAGTCATCCAGTCCAGTCTCATCCCATCACCCAAGCTGCCCAGCCTGGTACTGACAAGGTACATGGGAACACTTTAAATGAACTGTGAACTGAATTTCATATAGAAATGTGGTGCTGTGTATAGCTTTAAACTGCTCTGATAATACTTTGTAAAGCTAAGGCACTTATTTTAGAAATTATAAACTAGTATAATTAAGCAATGACCTTATTTTCTTTGATCTACGAACCAAGATTCTCTTCAGAACTTATCTTTCAACTTGATGAAAACCAGTTTCAGAGGAAAGGAAACTATCTCCCATGAATTATAAACACTGCCCACTCAAGCAGCTGCTATACTGTAGAGAGCCCAGGGAATCTGTTTCCTTAATAATTAAGCTAACTAAAAGTAAATGTGGCCCTTTTGAAAATGCCTTGCTTTAGGCCAAGAATTGTACCTCACAATAGCTAATTAATGCTTTTTGCTTAAGGTTAAATATTATTTATTTAAAGATCATAGTGAATATATTCAGTTGCCCTTGACATGGTCTTTAATTTGCAAATCCCAAAAGAACAGAGAGAGGCACTCTGGCCCAGGCTACTCTAGAACCCAACAGGAGTGTCAAATCAAAAACAAAATGTGTAGTAAGAAATTAGATGCTGATTATCTCACCCAAGTCTTGACCATGGGCTCTTTTATTTCCTTGTACATACAGGAGAGAAAAGCCTTCATAGATCTGGACTGTTCCCTGCGGGCATTGTGGTGCATCTGTTGTCTGGCTGTGGCGTGTGATAAGAAATCCATGGGCAATAAAGGACGTTCCAGGGGGACCTGGGGGACCTTGTAATCCATCTGGCCCGGGAGGACCATCCAAACCACGGGTACCTGTTTCCATGAATCATCAATATACAAGATTAAGTAAGCTCTGATCCACTGTTATGGTTATTGACAAACATTATGACTTCATTATATTAGTTAATTTATTCAATATTTATAGAGTATCTATAAAGGCACTATCAGATATCATGGGCTTGGAGACAAATTAAGATACAGTTTCTGCCCTCAGAGAGATTTAAACATGTTTTTTTCTTCTGGCATTGGTTGAAGATGGCAAGCACTAAAACACCGGGTGAATGGAACCTGAGATGGGAAGAAGTGATGCTTATTTGGAGAGCCTGTATGTTACCTAGTCTCTTGCTGTACTAAAAGAGTCTGAACCCCATGACCAAATTTCAGCCTGATGTTTTGTTCATCAATGAGAAAGGAAGGGTGTGGTTGCCATCAGTTTGCCAGCTTCAGTGGTGAAAAACATTTTCCTTTGAATCTGTCTGGGGAATAATTCCCAGGCATACCTTTTTGTTTAGAGAATAAGCAGGGCATTCTGAAAATGCCTTTCCAAAATGCTTATTTTCAATCTACTACTGGCTCCCCTTTTCGATTTAGTGTCTTGATTTGAGCTCATTTAAAAATTCTCTTTATATATAGGTCTCTGACCAGTGTGTGTATAGATTTTCATTCTGGGGAAACTTCACAGCAACACCAGTGATGAAGATGACACTAACTTGTTTTTTTCCCTAGAACTATGACACTAATGAAATGGCAAGTTGTTGGCTCTAGGAAGGCCATATGTATCACCACTCTGCCTTGTTGCTGCTGATATTTGAAATAGAAACTCTTTATGTTTATTTTATTTAGAGTTATATTATCTAGAGTTGCTAACATATATCTACAATCTAATGAGCATGTGATCTTCTATTCCTATTTTAAAAATCTTAATGTTAATGTATTTTTTATTGCAAGTTGACTCAAATTCTTTTTGGAAGTAGATTGAGTATAGATTGAAAGTGTAGTAGATACCAGACTCAGTATTATTAGGGGCACATATTAATGAGTGACCTCAAAAATCTGCATATCAATTTATCATCTAAGCATGAGATGTCACCATAACCCTCAAAGGTCTATGAGATCACTTAAACTTTTCATTTATATTTACTGCATTTTATGGGGGAAATTATACCCTATTGTGATGTTTTCAAATGTGGTGAGATTCACAATAGTTTCAAGGTGGTCTGGAGATTTAAATCAATATATTGAACATTAGCTGAATAGGTAAGTATAACGAGTACCTGGAAATCCCTATCTTGAGACAAAGCTGGGTTTTCCAATTCTCTAAACACATAAACAAAAGCAACCTTTGTATGTTTCTCTTGTAGTGGCAAATCCCCTTATATGTGCCTTCCTATTTTTCTCCTGCTCCAGATTCACCAGCTAGCTGTGCTCCCTCAAGAGGAAGATCTCATAGCTCCAAGTGGAAGCCCTATGCCCAGAGGTCTCCCAGACTTAAAGATCACCATCAACAGCATTGTTTTACTTGTCTCACCTGGCTGGCCTGGCAGGCCTGGGTCTCCTTTGCGTCCTACTGCACCATCAAAGCCAGGGAGTCCATTGCGTCCAGGATCTCCTGGAGGGCCAATTGGACCTACAGGAAAAGAAACAGGGTTTTCAAATGTGGGTAGAATAATTTCACATCCAGACAGATCTAGAATATACAAGATTCTTGAGACACTGAATTCATAATTTGGATTAAATCCAGATAAATGATGGGATATCTCAAGCCCAGGAAAAAAGAAGAAAACAAAGATTTAGCTTTGGTTTTAAACATTCCATTTACTTCTGAGGAGATTCTATTAATATGGCAGTTGTGTTCTCTTTGCCTTCAGAACGAGAGGAGTGCAGATCCCAACTTTTGTTATCTATCTATTATAAGTTACGGCTAGGTACACTTTATTTTTGGTAAGACTACCATTCAATCAGTTAATAAGGGAGAAAGACTAAAGTTAGTTACTAGCTTTCTTTTATAATCAAAGTTGGCTATAAGCATAGAGTCAAATGGCCAGCTATTAATAGATAGCAGTTAATTTAAAAGTCAAGGGGCCTCACCAAGGGAAACTGATGGCCCACCAAATCAGCCTTGATCTTTCTGCTGGGTGAGGTAGAGAAAGCACCAGCTCTTAAATGCATTTTCATTTCATTACAGAGTTTTTAACATTAACTCATCTGTTCAACTTAGAAGTGCCAGAGGAGCTAAAAGAAACCTGACAAGGCCTAAAAGAAATTCAGCCATGAGAAGTTAACAATTGCAAAAAAAAAAAAAAAAAAAAGAAATGGGACCTGTGGTGGTCTGGTATTCTACTAGTTGCTGAGACTCCTATTGTCAGAGACAAATTCTGACATGTCAAAAAAGAACTAGGGAAATCTTCTGAAATACATAAACCTTAAAAAGATGATCTGCAAAGGTACCTGGTAAGCCTTGAGGTCCTGGGAGTCCTGGTGGACCTTTTAATCCAGGCTGGCCAGGGATCCCTGGAGGACCAGCATCTCCTTTGATTATAATACTCTGTCCTGAAGGACCAGGTAATCCAGGAGGACCTAAGAGGCAAAACACACACATTTGAAGGGGAAGAGAAAGGTCAGAAGAAATGGATGCCAAAGTGACCTAAGATCAGAATAAGAACTGGTGTGAGAAAAACATGTCATATGTATTGGACTGCTACCATATACATATCCAACAGAAATCTGTTTGGGAAAACTACCATTATCTTGCCCAGAAGACTGAAAAATAATTTTCTTGGGGTCAATGGAAAAATTAGACATATCATCCCTATTTTAAAGCCTTGAGCATCACTCAGTTACTAGAAAGTCTAATCCATTACAGTTCTGTGAACACTTGGTGTCAGGGGAAGACAATCCTATTCCCTTACAAGTCCATTCTGATTCTAATAGCATTTGCAGTTCTTGTTTGTTGTGCTTGTCAAGGGACCCATTGAACTAGTAGGGGAATTTAGCAGATGCCCTATTTCACAATTTACAAGAAACCTCAATAAGTCTCTTAGCAAAAAGAACTATTTTAATATAAAAAATATGCAAATATACATATGTGACTTGTTCTTGTGATCTGTTCAATTGAATATCGAAAAGTTACTATAAAAGCCAATAAAAATTTCAAAGAAGCATTATTGTCAATCCTGCATTTATCCTAAATTTAAAAGATGTACTATCAATATTATATTAATAAAATAGAGTTTTAGATATTAGTAAATAAAGAGAGAGTCCTGCTTATTTCCCTTCAGTTGTTGAGGACTTAGACTGGCAGTTTTGCCGAAAGACAAACTTTCAAATTCTTTAATGCATCCAAGTGTCAGGTATAACTAGCTTCAGGAATAAGGTCTTACCTGGTGGACCAATAAGTCCTGGTTCCCCCTCAGGGCCAGGTGAACCAGGTACACCACTGGGTCCTTTCATGCCTGCAAAGAAGATACATAAACTTGCATGGCAAAGCAACAGGGCTACAGCCTTTACCCAGTCAAATCAGAAAATGGGTATCTTGTCCCAAAGGAGTTTAATATAAAGGGAAACCTCAAAACATCCCTTCAAATACCTGGGAATCCTGGAACACCAGGGAGACCAGGATCTCCTTTCATTCCATTAAGACCTGGCCGGCCAGGATTACCCTGAATAAATAAAATCATTAATGTTAAAAAAAAATTGGGGGGGAGAGAGGGGAGTGAGGGCATAGGTATTGCATAGTACATGGACATATGGCCCCAAGGCCACAGATTCCTACCCCTGGTTTAATGGTTTATAGCACCATCTCTAGAGTCAAACTTCCAAGATTCGAATCCCAATTTTGCCCCTTATCAGCTGGTGTGAATTGAGTTGATTATTTACCTCTTTGATCCATAGTGTTCTCACCTCTGACATGGAATAAATAGTGGTATCTACTTCATGGGATTGTGGTGAGGACAGTTCATATTAAGTGCTTAGAAAACTGATTGGCATGTGGTGTGTACTTAATAAATGGTAACTGTTATTTTATTATTTTTTAATAGAGATGGGTCTTGCTATGATGTCCAGGCTGGCCTCAAATTCCTGGTCTCAAGCAATCTTCCTGCCTAAGCCTCCTGAGTACCTGGGACTACAGGCTATTATTTTATTATTAACAAAAATATTCTTTTTTTAGTCTACACCTAAGGTCATAAATGCTTGGATTAGAGTCACATGTGCAGAAACGATAAAGCCCGAAAGACTTAGCAAAGATATAGCAGGGCCTGTTAATTAATTGGATTAGAGGGCCATGAAAAGTGTGGAAAGAAGAGTTGAAAATAGCTCTAGAATTGATCTAAAGGAAGAATACAGAATAGCAAAATCATATAGGAGGCTACTGCTTTAGTCCAAGTGTGGGACAATGAAGCTTGTATTAATAGGAATGAAAAAGGAGAAAGCCTGGAACATCTTATTATGCCAAAATATAAGAAAGTATTAAGAAAAAGGGAGGTGCATGTCAGAAATACAGAAGATCCAGCTTGAAAGGGCTTCTAAATCTGGAACAATGAAAGCATCTAAACAAGTAATGATAGTTTAAAAATTGTAAATCATTGGAAAAAATGGGACATCACGGGTCTATATTGATAACAAATACATAAATAAATAGGAGAGAACAGAGGGATCTTGCTTGTAGTAGGGCCAACTGGTATATGTGGAGGTAGTGCTAAAGATGGAAATCATCATTTTGCCACTATCCCAGCAGTGATTGGTTGAAGCAAAAAATATTAATAAATGTTAAATCTAAGGGGAAATTTTGATGAGGAGCAGTATATTTGCATGATCTTAATGTGCCTTCCTGCAGTTTTGCTTATTAGTTGCAAGAGGAAAAATAGCAACCATACAATGGAGAAACCGAACAACAACTTGATTGGGTGATCAAAATTAAAATCACAAATGAGGGGCAGATAGACATCATGGGCCTCCTTATCTATTATCCTGAGAAGGACACAATATCACTCATGTAGTATTCCAGCTGGGGATGCATAACTTGAATCTAATTATAAAGAAACATTAGACAAAAGAAGGAACATTCTATTTTAAAAATGATGAGGGGGGGTAAATTTTTTTTTTAAATGTCAAGGTCATGAAAGAAAAAATAAATAGGCTTAGGAACTGTTCCAGATTAAAGGAGCCTAAAGAGATATGACAATTAAATGCAATGCATGATTTGGTTTGGGTCCTGTACTGGAGGAAGAAATACTAAGAAGGACATTACTAGGTCAATTGACCCAATTGGAATATGAAAGATAGAAATTAAAGTATCATATCTATGTTCAATTTCCTGAAATTGATAACTCTACTGTAGTTATATAAGAGAATATTTTTAATCTTAGGAAATATGCACTGAAGTATGTAGTGGTAAAGGGGCATGATAGATACAACTTATTTGCAGACATTTCAGGAAATATATATATTTATATAAATATATATACTTATACACAAACAAAGAGAAAACAAAGGGGCAAAACATATTAGGCAGTAGTCTTGAATGCACACAGGGCGACATGTGAACCAGAAGCACATGGGAGAAGAATGAGGTGGGGAGTGAGTACAGAATGAACAAAGAGATAAATAAATTAAGTCTAGGTAACTAGAAGAATAACGATGCCATAGGGAAAAAAAAGGTTAGATACAGAAAAGCATTAAGGGCCACTACTTTAGATTGTTTTCAGCTATAAAGCAGCCTTCACAGTTAAAAGATAGCCCAAACCCTGTTGGCTGCCAAATCTACCAAGAATCTGCTTGAATGAATGGAGGTGGCTTTGAGGATCCATAAAGGAGAATGCGACTCTCTGGGTCACTCAAACCAACATAGAAAGCACATGAGTGTATATGCTATTATTGTCTTTTTATAGGTGAAGAAAGAAACCCAGAGTGTCTGTTTTCCTTATAGACACAGCGGAAGTGTGCAGTGGAGCTGAAATTTGACCCTAGTCTAGCTAATTTCAAAGTCTAAAATATTCCCACTCACCATAATTACTTCCCTATGGATGGACTCATCCACATGAAATGCTCTGATATACGTGTCTCCTTTGCATAAATTTGCTTTCACTGAAGTGAAGGCTTCTCAAATCTAAAAACTATACATACCAAAAACTCCAGGTAAAGTATCTTCTGAAGAACCCTTTAACTATAATATAGCAAAGTCTCAACTGGGAGACTGTAGGAAACTTGCCTTCTACTTTCTTTTTAATTCTCCAGTGAATCATGCAAACAGCCTTGTTCAATGAATGTTAATTAAAATGATGCAGCTTAGAATTCTCATTTTGAATGCAAACATCCGCACTCCTCTCTCATCAAATATCTACTCCCATTTCCTACCGGGAGTCCTGGTGGTCCTTGATCTCCTTTCAAACCAGGCAAGCCAGGTTGCCCAGGTTGGCCTGGGTTTCCCCTCTCTCCTTTAATACCTCCATTTCCAGGGAGACCCCGAGGACCTTCTGGGCCTGGTGAACCTTGATAATGTACAACAAATAACCACATTTCAGTATAGCATAACAGTAGCATAGAAGTCAGGCTTTTAAAATATCAATCATCTTCCTATTAGGTTGCAGAATAAAATCCAGACTATATTTAAATATATAGAACTATGCTGACTCCCTTTCTAATGTAAAGTGGACTGGGTTCTTTTTGTTATTAACACTGGTTTACAGACTCTTTCAGTTTACATTTTATTATATATTAAACTCAATAAACTCATATCTAAAGAAAGGACTCAGGACATCATAACATTTGCTTCTGCAGTCCTTCAAGTGTTTGACTTAATGTGAAATGAAACAGAAACTGTAGGGCACTTTCTCGAACGGAAGCATGCTTCAGAATCACCTGGAGGGCTTGTTAGATTCCTGGGCCCACCCCCAGAGTTTTGGATTCAGCAACACTGAGGAGGGGCCCAATGATTTGCATTCTAACAAGTGCCGAGTAAAAGTTGAAGCTACTAGTTTCAGGACCTCGCTTTAAAAATCAGTGTTGGCTGGTCCAAGTGCAGTGGTGTTTACAACTAATTGATCACAACTAGTTACAACGTATTTCTTTGTTCCTTCTCCACTCCCACCACTTAACTTGACTTGCCCTTAAAAAAGAAATCACTACTGTAGGGCAGTCAGGGATTTAAGCTATTTGTCTTGTTGTGATGAAAATCAAATTCTTTCATTTGTAAGTAGTTACATGTATTCAGCTTTCATTACTATACAATAAAGATAGTTATTTAAGCAAACTAACTGTTTAACTTCATTTTAGTGATGTGCTTGATACTTGGGAATATTTTAAAATGTCAGAAATTTATTGATACAATACAGTACTTTAAAAACTTATTTCTAAAATGTTTTCATATTTTTAACATTTTAAATATTTTTTTTTTTGAGACAGAGTCTCACTCTTTTGCCCAGGCTAGAGTGAGTGCCGTGGCGTCAGCCTAGCTCACAGCAACGCAATCCTTCTGCCTCAGCCTCCCGAGCAGCTGGGACTACAGGCATGCGCCACCATGCCCGGCTAATTTTTTCTGTATATTTTTAGTTGTCCAATTAATTTCTTTCTATTTTTAGTAGAGACGGGGTCTCGCTCTTGCTCAGGCTGGTTTCGAACTCCTGAGCTCAAACGATCCGCCCGCCTCGGCCTCCCAGAGTGCTAGGATTACAGGCGTGAGCCACCGCGCCCGGCCACATTTTAAATATTTTTAAGAAAAATAAATAATTCTGTATGCATCTTGTGAGTAAATAAAATCATTTAAAATAGGATTTTGCTAAGTTTTTTTCCTTATGCTATGTTTTCAACCTTTCTTGATAAATACATCAGGTCCATTAAGCAACCAGGGAGATATTATCATTGGCCAAGCCTTTTGTCACTAGGTGTGAAATAGGTGCTACTTCCTTGCAGAGTGTTTAGTGGTTGAGGTTGAGACAAAGTAATCCTGCCTTAAGAAAATAATTACAAAGCCCTAAATAATGAACAGCCAATAGTTAACACTTCTACCCTGTCTCCTCTGGTAATCTCAGGTTTTTTATTGATTATAACAAAAAACGAAGATACGTAGGGATTACTTTTAAGGAACTATCATGGGCATATGAATTTAGAATACCGACTTCATGCTTACATATGGACAATATGTCATCTTTTTTTACCTGAGATAAAATTGACTTTAGTTCCCTTCCCAATACTCTTAAAACTCAGAATCAACGCCTAATACTAACAATGCAGAATGGCATAGAGATTAAAAACACTGGACTCTGGAGTTAGAATGCTGGGTTAGAATCCCAGCTCCATTAGTCATTAGTTATTTGACTTTAGCAACATTATTAATCCCCTTGGCTTCAATTTCTTCTTCTACAAAATGGAAATAAGAATATCACTTACTTTATCAGGTTGTTATAAGGATTTAATGAGATGGCATATATAAATTACTTAGCACAGTGCCTGGTACATAGTGAAAACTATGGAAGGGTTTTATTATTATTATTACTTATATTATCTTCATTATTAATAGTAATACTGAAGGTAAGAACCTATCTTAAAATATGAGCTTGTTTTTAATCTTGCGAGTATTTCTATGTGATTTCAGAATATAACATTACATATCTGGCACATGAGAAAGAGGAAGGAGGCTCACAACAGTAAAACAATTGTTTTATCTTTAAACAATTTAAAGATCATATAGTTACTCTAGCCTGGCAACAAGACAACAAATAAATTCCCCTCCCAATAATAAGAAAGGGTTGGGGTACTTTGTACATTAAAAAAAAATGTATTGTTCAAATGCACTAGATAGGGTTTTCTAAGCAAATTTGCTAGTTTCATCCATAATGTATGATTCGGACTAGAAATCAGGTAGCAAATCAGCTTATTAAGAAAAATAATAAACTATCTGTGAATCAACCTGATAACAATGACAAGGTAAGATTAAGATGGGGGAAAAAAGGGAAGTTTTATGACCCTTTACCCCAATTTGAAAGGTTATCAGAACATGGTATCATTTGAAGAAAAAAACTAGGGTACTGTACATTTTACAATTAAAAGGAAATAATAGGAAATTTATATGTTAATTCAAATCTGCTGTTTAGAGTTCCTTGAATTTAAATCAATGAGTAATAACATTTAATGACATAAAGGACACATAAGTTTTATTTTTAATAATATTCAATAGTTTCTCTCTTCCATTACTGAAAATAGCCCTGAATACACAGATCAGGGCAATCTGAGGCAACCAAATTTCAAGAAAATAAAATCAATACACAGAGATTACAAATGGGCCAAATGCCTGCCTAAATAGCTTGATGCAGTCTCAAAGGTAAAAATAAGTGTATTTCCATTTAAAATTCAACATGTCTTTATGTATTAACTACCTAGCATAAACAATTGAAGCCATGAAGACCTAATTTCATTTTAAATTTAATTATAATCAAGTCACATTACCTTCATCAAAATGTTAAAACCCCAGCAGATAGTATTTGAGGATAACAGCACTCTTCAATGTCTTCTGAATTATAGCAAAAAAGTGAATTTCTCTTATCACACATACAAAGCATTAAAAAAAAAAGAATTGACTAGTGAAGAGTCTAACCTTGAAAACCTGGGAAGATCAGAGTTCACCAAAGCCCAAAGATCGATGTTAGCAGTATCAGACATCACACAGTACAAAATAAGATTATGAGTTAGAAGTGGTTCACAATATAGCATAAGTTAAACAATAATCTTCTTTGCCAGCATTTCTTATAACTACAGCATAATCAGTATGCAAACAGAACTACAGAGGAGTATGGAGAGCCAAACCTTTTCAAATAGAGCTTATTCTAAAGAATAAGCTGCTGGTCTTCATTAATCAAACAAAATGGAAAACTCTATTGAAGACATCACGTTAACACCACTACTGTGGCTTTCCAAAAGTTAGCTTCTCAAAACATTAAAGTTGGCAAAATAGTACCATTTCACCGACAGCCTTCAGCTCCTTCAGCAAAGGGGTAATTTTGGATAAATAAGTTTAAGTTTGTCTTGGCCTCTGCCATCCTTTAGTAAAAACACCAGGTGCAAATTTCTTGATATGTTCAGATTACCCCAAGGAGATACAGTTAACTTTAAAGGTCTCATTGGCAAAAAATACAAAGATCATAGGTGATGGAACAGAAAAATCAAAACATGAGTATATAATGGCCATTACCAACTGTACTTTTGTTTGTATTTGAAAACCATTCCACGAAGGCACATTTTGATTTTTTTTCCTAATTCATAATGAGGATTTCTCCTGTACACTATTACTTACAATGTGTTACTTAAAGAAAAATAGCCAATGTATATTCGTATACCATTAAACTTGAAAATAAAGATTCAAATTTTCTAAAGATATGAAGACTATCAGTGAAGGGGTGCTTTAAAATAATTTGTCATGCAATATCCCACCCCAAACCACAGAAAATATCACATTTACTTTATTATTATTCAGCACACATATTAAGTCAGGCTATTCACTATTAAAAGAAGGATCATTAAATATAAAGATTAAAAGCCTACAAATAGAACACCTCTTTGTTAGTGTTAATTGACTAAAAACACAATTTTCTTTTCTTACAAGTCTTGCTATGATTTGTAAACATTGAAAGTTAGCAGAAAGAATAAATTGTGCTACAGAACTGAATCCTAGAAGTTAGAAGACCTAGGATCTATTTTTGACTCTGCTACTTAATAACTGTAATCGTACGACTTTGGGCAATTCAATCTTTCTGAGCTTGTTTTCTCACCCACACAATGGGAATAGTGTTATCTGCTCTAACCTCCCTCATAGGATTGTTTTAAAGATCAGATTCAATTTTTAAAATATTGACCTAATGTCTGCCATGTGCAAGTTGCTACAGGAAAGAAGACCCAAACTCTGCCCTCTAGGAGCTTACAATAAAAGTACATTGTATGATGTAAATGGTGGTATGCCAGATAAATAGAAAACATTATCATTACTACTTAATATGTACAAATTTTAAAGCATTTGATACTTTGAAATTTAGAAAGCTAAAAATTGGCTTCTGTTTGTTTAAATGGTCTCTAAACCACATATAGCAAACTAACTCAGGACAATACCTAGAGCAGAGTCTGGCCAAACGATTAGTTAAATAAATTAGGATTCCCACCTAAGATAACTCAGAGTTTGAGTAAAGAAATTTTATGTGCGTGTGTGTTTGATATAGAAGGACCAGTAACAAGAACTCCTAGAAAAATATTTCACTGGAATATGATATTTCAGTCTGAGTCGCTAGCAAGGAAGACTTTGGATCATATCATAGCAAAACTTCTAAGACTTCAATTTCTAAAAGGTAACATTTTAAAGAGATATATGCCAAGTCAATTTTGTGTATGAAGCTCTCAGTCAATTATTTTTCAAACCACCTAACAAAGTTTAACTGAAAAACAAAACAAAAACCTAAAGTCTTATATATAATTGGTAATTACTAAAGATACACTGATGAATTGACTAGTATATTTTAAATTCAGTTTCCACTTAAAGATGTAGTCTTCAACGGTTGCAAAGAAGACAAAACTACAGAGACCAGGTTCCAACAACTATGCAATTTAGAGCACATTTGGTAAATAAGTTGTTAAATCGGTTTTAAAGTAATGTGGCTACTCTTCTTTTTCTTCTATGAATAATATTGTAGTCCCTCAGAAGAAAGAAATCTCCTTGCTAACAATATAGTCTAGCAGTGATCAAGCAGCAGAAATATGTACAGGTCAGACAAAGTAGGACTCAAAATTATTTCAAAGTATCCCCTAGTCTTCTCTTTATCTTAGTGATAGTTAAATAGCACACACTGCCTTACTCTTTTTGATGACATACATTTAGGAAGAACACAAGAAGCAGTTACTAGGGGTTGATGGAGTTTTTGAGGTAACAGAAGAAACAAGAAAGTGGATGCAGGGCCCAATCTGCTATGGATAAGTGTCCGGAGCCATGAGGCCCGGCAGCTGCTTACCAAGCCCACGCATTTGCAAAAGCCTGCGGAAGAGCTTGTAAGTTTCTGTTTACCCATTATAACTATGTAGCCCTTGAAAGCCCCTGAGGGTTTCCTTATATAGAAACCCTCTGGCCGGAAAGCCAGAGCCTCGGAAAGCACCACCCCTTTTACTCTTTCTGCCTTACTTAAGCCTCTGCCTTCCTGCCAATAAACGAGACTTGATCAGACTCCTGTCTTGTCTCCATTTCTTGTGTCTCCTGCCTCTGCCAATTTCCACTCCCTCCTCCAGGGTCCGCGTTGACTACCCCGCGGGTCGGGACAGATAAGAGTCTCCTAAAATGGCATAAATAGTTTTCCTCTATCATTTGTCATATTTATAACTAGAATAAAAAGGCCACATCATAAACATCAAGCCATATTATAGCATTTGTGGAAAGATGATCCACTAGTAGAATAGATACTTAATGAGCTCTGGGGAACCTTAAGTGAGAGTCCCAGCTATGCCAATAACTAACAGTATTACCTTGAGCAAGCTTTTTAACCTCTTTGGGCCTCAGTTTTCTCATATATGACAAAGACGCTCTCCTTGACCAAAGTTTAGACAGGCTTCTCTGAGTCCAATTCTCAACTAGGCCTCAACCTCGGGCCCTGCGTTTGGCCTGCCAAGCCCAGGTACAACAAGAATCATGGTAATATCAGTTCAGGGAGAGTCCCTCTACCCTTGATATCTGATCAAGTTCTTCGTCCCCCACAACTGATGTCAATGTCTTTGGCCCATCTTTACCAAAAATCCTATTAGGCCAGTTTAACAATAACCCTCCTACCCTTGATGCCTCCTCTTAGTAATTTTCCATCACTGACCTTGGCTACAAATGCTCCTTGGCTATAAATCGCCACTTAACTTGTCTTTGTTGGATTTGGAGATGAGCTCAGTCCCTCTCTCCTATTGCAATCGTCTCTCCCCTGTTACAATAGCCCTGAATGAAATCTGTCTTACCATCTTTAACAAGTGTCCAATGTGTAATTTCTCTTTGACATATGTAAAACTTAAGTCTTTTCTAGATTTGACATTCTATGGTTCCATGAAATAATGGTTTTTTGGGGAGTAGAAAACTAGGGAATCAATTCACATAGAGATAGATAGCCTCTTGAAAAATTATGAATTTTAAATTTATAAGAAGAAAAAATGTCCTGGCATTCTCAGAGCCAGACCTCATGGGGTATACTTTTTTCCTTTTTAATTCCTCCTTAGAAATTTGAAAAAGACTATTTATCTTGAATAAAAATAATAAATCTATTCAAATATTTGTACCTTTTTATTCCTGATTAAGTGAACATCTTTCACTATGAATCAGCAATTTTCTATAGGGTAGCTACTGGTAATCGTTCTTTGGTATGTACTGTTTATATGTATATGATGAAAATAAATATTACGAGTCCTCTAATTTGTGCTGGTTACACTGATTCCTTTTTACTTTGTGCCTATTGGTCCTTTTTTTTCTTTTTTCTTTTCTTTTGAGACAGAGTCTTACTCTGCTGCCCGGGCTAGAGTGCCGTGGTGTCAGCCTAGCTCACAGCAACCTCAAATTCCTGGGCTCAAGCGATCCTCCTGCCTCAGCCTCCCGAGTAGCTGGGACTACAGGCATGCGCCACCATGCCCGGCTAATTTTTTCTATATATTTTTAGCTGTCCGATTAATTTCTTTCTATTTTTGTTAGAGACGGGGTCTTGCTCTTGCTCAGGCTGGTCTCGAACTCCTGAGCTCAAACAATCCACCCTCCTCGGCCTCCCAGAGTACTAGGATTACAGGCGTGAGCCACCATGCCCGGCCTATTGGTCCTTTTTCACAGCAGCAGAATTTAGAATTCTGTGAAAACCCAAAATGTGAAGATGGGATGGTTCTAAAACCTGAAAGAGGTATGGCAAGTCAAGAATTACATATTTTCATGGGATGATATCAAGCTAAAAAGCTTCTGCACAGCAAAGGAAACAATCGACGAAGTGAAGAGACAACCCACAGAGTGGGAGAAAATATTTGCAAACTACCTGTCTGACAAAAGATTAAAACTAGAATATATGAGGAGCTCCAACGACATGATAGGAAAAAATCAAATAATCTGATTAAAAAATGGGCAAAGGATCTGAACAGATCTTTCTCAAAAGAAGACATACAAATGGCCAACAGGTATATGAAAAATGCTCAACATCATTAGTCATCAGAGAAATGCAAACCAAAACTACAATGAGATATCATCTCACCGCAGTTAAAATGGCTTTTATCAAAAAGACAGGCAATAATGAATGCTGGTGAGGATGTGGAGACAGGGGAACCCCTGTACACTGTTGGTGGGAATGTAAATTAGTGCAACCACTGTGAAGAACAGTATGGAGGTTCCTCAAAAAACCAAAAATAGCACTACTGTATGACCTAGCAATCCCAATGATGGGTATCTATCCAAAGGACAGGAATTCAGTATGTCGAAAAGATCTCTGCACTCCCACGTTTATTGCAACGCTATTCATAATAGCCAAGTTATGGAATCAACCTAAGTGTCCACCAAGAGATGAATACATAAAGAAATTGTGGTACACACACACACAATGGAATATTACATAGTCACAAAAAAGAATGAAGTCCTGCCAGTTACAACAACATGGATAGAACTGGAGAACATTATGCTAAGTGAAATAAGCCAAGAACAGAAAGACAAATCTCACATGTTCTCACTCATATGTGGGAGATAAATATTAAAAACAATTGATCTCATGGAGACAGAGAGTAGAATGATGGTTACCAGAGGCTTGGAAGGGTAGTGGGGAGGGGGTTATGAAGTGGGGATGCTTAATGTGTGTAAAAATATAGTTAGATAGTTAGATAGAATGCATAATATTTGATAGCACAACAAAGTGACTATAATCAATGATAAGTTAGGGTATACTTTAAAATAACTGAAAGAGTGGAATTGGAATGTTCCTAACACAAAGAAATGATAAATGCCTGAGGTGATGGATACTCCAGTTACCCTGACTTTATTAATTCACATAGTATGCCTGCATCAAAAGTCACCTGTACCCTATAAAGATATACATTATGTACCTATAATAATTAAAAATAAAAAATTAGAAAAAAAGAATTACATATTTGCAGGATCTGATAATACATAGTTTTAAAAAAGTATCTTTTTAAAGAATAGTTCAATTTCATTTGCATTAACAGATGCAAACATAAGAAATACACTCTACTCCAAAGAAAAGGTAAAATATTATACCTTTTGGATACTACATATTTTCAACTAAAAATTAAACAAATATATGAATTTTGAAATGTTGAATTAGTTTTCCTAATTAGGTAATTTGGGATCATTCCAACATACAGAAACACTGGGTTCTACAAGTTCCTGACAACTTAGATAGGCCAACATGTAAGAATTGAATTGGCATATATACTCTTAAAATATATCCAAATACTTGGAAACATTAGGTATAGGTGCGTATATATACACATATACATATATAGAGACATATATGTATATATACACACATATATAAATATATACATATAAATATATAAGAAAAGTTTCAAACTTCATGCAGTTACTACTTTGGAGTTAAGGAGCTAACCTGTAGGACCTGGATAGGGATCAAAGTTCACCAAGGCCCAATGTCATCATTAACAAAAAGAAAAAAATATCAAAACTGTTAGAAATATCAAGAAACTAAAGCATTACACTAAATATTTTCAAGTTAAAATTTAATTAAATAAAAGAATACTCTGAAAGTTCATATTCATGCATCTGTATATAAACCAAATTATCATCACTTGGCATCAACACTAAATAGAAAACAGCATATGTGACATATTTTGAAAGACCAAAAGTCATTTTTATAATAATTATTACTATGAGCTCATATTAAGAAAATCAATTCTAAGAGTAATTGTGTTTAGAATTCCATTTTAATTTGCAATTTATGAACAAATTGAGAAGTCACAAACACTCATCAGGTGTGTGCCCTTCTCCTGACTTTTCTTGTTATTATTTCTTTAAAAATAGTAATTTTAAATCACCTTTGTGACTAATGGCCTTATGTTGACTTATTTCAAAGTAATGTTCAACTGTGAGCTCCATTACTATTAAGAATGAATAATCACAGTGTTGATTAGAATATAAAAAGGATAATAGTTTGGTTTATTTGAATTATTGCATGCAAAACCAAGCAAGATTCTTGCTTCAATTCTTTACATTACATGCAAGAAAGTTAACATGGCTGAGTAGATTTTCACTGGTTTTCTTCAATAATAAGCCAAGGTAAAACCTTAAATAATACCTTCCACAGACAGCCAAGTCAGATCAAATAAAATCTGATTTTGCAAATGATCCTCTGAACACAGTATGTGATCCCATTTAATTCATGCTTTTGGAGCATGTCTTATTAAAATTAACTCTGATCACTTTATATTTTACTATAGTTTAAATGAATTTTTTCATTTTAAAATGCTTTTTAAATTAAGTTAGAGACTTTCAAAGGATAAAAGGACTGTTGCTTTGTTTCTTTAATCTTAGATTTCTCTTATTTTTTCTTAAATCAATGAAGGTCAAGTTTGCAATTACCAGAAATACAAAAATAGAATATCAAGTCTCAAAAATCTGTTAATAACCTATCACCAGTGACTAGGCTCAGCGACATTAATCCAGAATGAAAATGAGCATTTCCAAAATTAGTAAAATGAAATGACACAGCACAGACACAAAATGAGAAGGTGAACATCGGATGCAAAATTGACACTACTGGAGCAGTGAACACAAGACAAATGAGGACTAGACGTGGTTGGTATGAAGAGATCACTAGTCAATTTGATCATGCTGTGATGTTGAAAATAAATTTGATTGCCTAATTCCTATGGAAAATAAAATTTTTTATTGTGCCTGGTGACATCTCCTGATCATATGACAGAATCATAGCAATACTTTTGGTAGGGACCACAAGCATCTATTGGTGATCACTAAAATGATTTCTGTGATAACATGCTGAGAAGCTCACATTGAAAAATGCAGATGACCATTTTGCTGCCAGGTTATCAGTTTAGCTTTACCTTTAATAATAAGACTAATAAAACCACTATTTCTTTTTTTCCTCCAAGTTGTTTTGTGAAATAAATGATGAAATGCATTACCAAAAAGAATTACTAGATGTCATGGAAATGGATGGAGTTCAGTATAAACCAAGTTATTTACTTGCAAGGAGTTCTTAAATTATAAATTCTAAAGTCTTAAAGACTGAATAACCTACCAGCAAAATGAAATAAATGGACTAATAAATAGACCATTCCCCTACTACTCGTGGACATACCTGGTCTCCCAGGAGGACCTTGGGGCCCAGGGTTGCCTTTAGGTCCTTCCAGAGCTGGACCCGGAGAACCAGGAGGGCCTGGGGGACCCTGCACACCCGGGAAACCAGGAAAACCTGATTCACCCTTTGGACCTGGAAGGCCAGGGTTTCCTGGAATGCCAGGTAATCCTCCATCGCCCTTTTGGCCTATGAAAGTAAAGTGACATTAAAGAACACAGTAAATGATACTGAGTTATAGGTTTGCCTATAAGGCTAAAACTATTCATATTTATTAGAGCAATTAATGAAATTCACAAGAGTCATTTCTATCTTCCACCAAATCCCAAACCCACCCAGAAAACCGTAAACCATTTTTCCTATTAAATATATATGTATCTGTTAGAAGAACTATTTGAGTATGCATAGAAATGTAGGAACAATAAAAGCTTTCATCCTAAAAGGTATCCTTTGTATTAAGACATAGAGAAATGATCACATGACCAGTAGCTGTGAGAAAAAAAGAAGAAAAAATATGTATAAAGTATCTTCAAGAATAGATTCAAGATGGCTGGAGGAAATTCCTAAAACAAATGTTTTGAGACTGATTTTGAGACTAATGGAGGATATGGATTTCAATGGTTGCTATGTGTCCCTGAAAACCATTTTACCCAAGATTTATAATCATAGTCTAGACAAACTGTTCTGAATATTTTTTCTATACCACTAACACTTTTAAGTACAATATAATGGTGGCACATTAAAGCAATACTTTTCATGTTGGGATTATGGGAAAGATATCAGAATTTCTAGGATATGTGTGTGGTTTAAGAAAAGCCTCCATATAATAGCCAATGGTCATTTCCGAACACACACATACATGTATGTATACACATTCAATCTCTCTATTTAAACTATGGTGCTTACAATGAGAGGAAGCACAAGAAAGGGAAGATAGATGTGTGTGTGTATACATATACACCCAAGTATGTAAAACATATATTAAGATGAAGTTTTCAAAAAATATTTTTATTATTCATCTATATTTCTACAGAGTTTCCTTATCTTACCTTGATATTGCTTCCACAGGGAGAAAACTGTGGGTTTTTTTCTGGCTAAACACATTTTTTAAAATTTAGTGAAATCTACTCTTCCTACAATTTTGCCTTCTTTCTTTATCATTTCCTCAGTATTTATGTAGGAAGTTAATGAAGAGATATCTATGTGTAGATTTCTTTAATGATGCATTTTTATATAGCACAACTCCTTATACTAAGTTGCCAAATAATAAATGCTTTAAGGTGCAACTCTACCTTTGAGTATTCTGGGTTTGTATATGCATTTTTAACAGTAAATGGCAGAGATGAAAAAATAAATGTACTAGAGAATATTCTCATTTTATGAATAGATTAAGCATGTTTTATTAAGGTTTACCAGAAAGTCCTGGTAGTCCAGGGGGTCCTGGGATTCCAAAGCCTGGTTGACCTGTCAAAGTACAAAACGAAAAAATCTCAAGTGGATAATAATAATGAAACAAGAACAAATTATTTTCAGGTCATTGAGATTTTTATTAAGTGCAACAATATATATGAAACACGTAGACTTATTTCAACAAAGAACTACATTTTTTTTTTTTTT